CTGCTGCACCATGTGGGTCACCTCCCTGGCTGGGGATTGAACTCATGCTGCAGTGGCTGTGGCTAGCTTCATAGTGAAATACTTTAAGTCCTGTGCCACCAGGGAGGGGCCTACCCCAGTTCTTGTATGCATGAATAAATAAATCTTTAAAACAACAAAAAAAGGAGATTGTAATTATATTTTACTTACAAACAAAAAAACCAAAAAGCATCAAAACAAAACACGATTAAGGAAAAGACTTAGAAGCAAATATACCAGAACTGTTACTGCTGTAAATTCTTACTTCCTCTAAAGCCCCCCTTTCCCGACAACCAGGTAGCCATTTCTGCCAGCAGAAGCCTCTCTTCCTCCAGATGTCACTCTCTCCTGAGCAGCTGCTATCACATGGCTCTGACTGCCCCAGGATGCCTGAGAACAACCTCTGTCCTCCTGTTCCACAGCATCAGGTCCAGCTAAGTACTGCTCAGGCGCCCTGAACAGTGGTCTGCTGGGACGACCTTCTCTCCCCAGTGTCTGGGTGTGGCCAACTGCGGCCCTCCACGTAGACAGATGTTCTGCCTAGCCTTCCAGAGACTTCTAAGCAGAGATCCCCACTGGAGAAATTGCTAGTCCTAAAATAAGTGTGGGTTTTGATGAAGTGCTCAGTTTTAAGTGCTTTCCTTACTCTACAATTTCTAGATCAAAGTCAGCTCTATTCTGTGAGTCTGAGTTCTTACTTCCGAGCTATCTTTAGCGATTTGCTTATTTAAGAAACCATCATCTCTGCGCCCACAATCTCCCTGTATTCTATGGTGGAATTTGGAAATGTGCAGAGTATTGAGAATGATTCACAGTGCTTTAAACGTCAAATCACGTCATTGACACAGGACCCTGCTGTGGATAGGCTTCTCTGCTCTTTCCCTTGTTTCTGGAGACCTCCGGCTCGCTAACCCGGATGCCCAGTGCAGTTCAGAACTGGAATCAGTCAAGCCAGGTTGACCTCCCAGTTTCACCCTCTCGTAGTGGATCAGTGGCCTAGGGCCTTTTACTCAGAAGCACCAAACCTCCAGTTTCTCATTTGCAGAGAGAAATTAAAAACATAAAGACAACCACCAACGCCCTTAACAACAGCAAAAAAAGTACCTCAAGACCTTTCTCGTACCGCAGCACCTGCCAGAACCAGGACTGCGATGTCCTTTTCTGGGGGTTTGTTTCTCACCATCCTGAGCAGCCTGTGCTTGCTATGTGAATTTGAGTTCTTTATGGCATCTCATCTTCTGAGCCTTGAGGGGAGACTCTGGCCATGAGAATACGGATTTTCAGGAGAAATCTCAGGCTGAGAGAAGAGGGCCCCAGTCGGGTTCGGAACCTGCATTTTTGCCAGATGAGCAGTGTTTTGCTTCTCGCCATGGCAGACAGGTCCACGGCCAATGGTGAGTTCCTGGGAGGTGCTTTGTGTAAAAAGTAAAAGACCTGAATCGGCCATGTTTTAAGTGAGGAATGGGTGTTAAGCACTAAGAAGCCACAATAATACAAAAGAATACATGCACTCCTATGCTTATTGCAGCACTATTTATAATAGGTAAGATGTGGGATCAACCCAAATGCCCAAAAATCAACAACTGGATCAAGAAGATGTGATACACACATACATACACAGTGGAATACTATTCAGCAATCAAAAAGATAAACTAATGCCATTTGCAGTGATACAGATGGAGCTGGAAGGGATCATGCTGAGTGAAATAAGTCAGAAGGAAAATGAAAAATACCGGGTGGTTTCACTTATAGGAGGAATATAGTGGCTCTATGGCAAAAACAAAAAAGTAAACAGACAGAACTGTAAATCAGAGGTATTCTGCTGGGAGGGTGTGGGAAAAGGTCAAAGTGATGGCGGGAAGAGCACCGCGGACAGTGGTGGGAATTCTGTGGGATTGCACCTGAGAGAAGACAGCAGACATTGTACACGAATGATATAAAATACATACAAATAAATAAATTATGTATTTAACAAAAAGCGCCACACTTTGTGCCTAACGTTAGCATTTTAAGTCCACACTCTGTGGCAGCTGAGAAGCAGGACTGCGGTGGTACACAGCACCAGAAATGCGGCTCTGAGGGACAGACTCAGTGTCTGCACTACGGCCATAAGCAAAGGTTTCGTATTTTGACCTTTCACCTCTCAAAACGGATTCCGAGTTGAGGAGAACTGCATGCAACAGAGATTTGAACTAGCAAGTTGTCTGAGACTAAGACGTGGTCGAGTAGATGGTGGGGCAGCTGCTTGCCGAGTCATTCAGCACCCACTGAAAATGGTCACAGACACCACGACACCATGGGTGATACCTCTGAATAAGTGAAATAACAGCACCCCAAAATATTCTTAACAAAACTGCAGCCTTTTAGCTATGCATATGGAAAAGATGACACCACGTTACAAAAAGTGGTAGTGACTGGGGAGAGGCAGGGGTTAGGAAGGATTTTCCCTCTGGTTCCCCCACTTCCTGTATTATAGTTTCATTGTCTTTAAACAATAAAAAAAAGAAGTGGGTGAGGAAGAGAGATTTTCAACACTGATGGAGATGACTGAGAAAGCACTTTGCTCGATCTGCAGGGCAGGCTACACCCTCCCGTGGCCTGGCCTGAGACGCAATGTGGGTGCCCGTGAGCAGCATTGTGACTGGCTGTTAGGGGAGGGGGTGGGGGTGCTGGGTGCATCAGATCAAGGCAAGCGTTTCTAGGACACCAAGCAAGGCGTGTGGGAGGTGCGGGTGCCGACCCCCGCCCTCGGGGGTCTGCAGTCTAAGGTGTACCGCCGTCTTGGCAGTGGTATCGAAACCCTCTGTGTTCTAGGTGAACAGTGGCAGTTCCGCTGACAGCCAGCGTGGGTACACAGGAAGTCCCAGCATTCAGGAAGCGTCCAGTGTTCATGCTGCTGGGGCGGAGGTGGGCAAGCTGGCCACATGTCCCGCTTAGTCATACGATTTGCTGTCTTTCCCCCTCCCGTGCCTCCTCTAGAGTCAGATGGAGTTCAGCATCTCCTCCTTATCCATCCAAGAACCCAGCAGCGGCACAGCCACCAACGAGCTGAGGCAGCTGCCCAAAGCTTCTCAGGGTGCCCAGGCCCCCCGGTCCTCCCAGGGCAGCAAGTCCTCCAGCCTGGATGCTCTGGGGCCTTCCTGGAAGGACGAGGAGGCGTCCTTCTGGAAGATCAATGCCGAGCGGTCCCGGGGAGATGGGCCTGAAGCCGAGTTCCAGTCACTGACCCCCAGCCAGATCAAGTCCATGGAGAAAGGCGAAAAGGTCTTACCTACCTGCTACCGGCAAGACCCGGTCCTGAAGGACAGGGAGGCCAAGGTGGAAAGGCCAGGCAACCCCCGCCAGGAGCAGCGTGTCCTCCCCAGTGTCATTGCTGAGCAGGACAGGCCCCAGCCCGCCCAGGCCTCCACCAGCGTGTTGAACGAAGCCACCCCCTCTGGACCTGCGCTGAAGCTGCCCTCTCCTGACGCCAGGCGGAAGGACGTGGAGGACGTGGAGGACACTCTGTTCGCAGACCCTGTACCTGCACAGGTGGGTGGCTTTGCTCAGAAGCAGCACGACAGGCACAGAGGCCGAGCTTCCTACTGCACCCTATGCACTTCTCGGAGGGTTTCTGGCATCTGGAGAGCTGGGCCTAGTCTGCTACTATAAAAAATACCTGAGTGGCCTTGAACCTTGACTTGTTTTGTGGTTGTAGCCCAGATACCCACTGCTTTTCCCCAGGTTGTTCATCATCAACCGAGGCCCCCTTACGGAACATAATAACTGTTGTTTTTTTGGTTCTCCTATTCTAAGTCAAAACCATACGTTTGTCTTCTCTTTGCTGTTGCATGCAATACAGACCAGCTGGTAAAGAAATGGCCAGCGCTGCCCAGAACAGCGGGACAGCACTCAGAAGCCCCTCAGGCTGTTTATTCTCCCGCACAGCCTCTTCATTCATGAGGCACAGGTGCACGGGGTGAGGACCCTCAGCAACCTCTTTGCTTCCCATCTATTCCCGTTCGGACACCTAAGCCTGTCCTTAGCTTTGGAGGATCCCAACAATACATTGCATGTAGACATGTCTGAGAATCATGTTCAGGAGGGAAATTATGGACCACTTGTGCACCTGACTGAGCAAGCAAGATTCTGTGTCCTGTCTGCCATGGAGATAGATGGACAATGCTTCTGTTACCGGAATGCTTTCTGCCATTCGGAACTTTCTAGAGAGATCAGAGTCTGCTGAGCCAGACGGAGCAGGAGGGCATAGGAAGGGAATATTCACCTCTAGGGAGGAAACACAGGGTCTCCCCTGGCCTCCCAGGGAGGGCTGTCCTGAGGTGTTGGCCCTGAGGTGGGGCCACCCAGTGAGGAGCGAGCTCTCGCTTTTCAGCAAGCATGTCGGTCCTGCTGCTGCGGGTTCAAAGCGGCCCCCGGGGGCCTGGCTCTCAGGGCTGTCACAGCTCAGCCCGAGTCGGCTTTTCCTTTTGGAGCTGCTCAGACTGCCAGTCCCATGCTCTTTAGGAAGGACTCTGAATTGGGAGCTGGGGAAATTCCCTGTTGGCAAGGCCGGCAGGCGTGGTTCGAGGGCCCCTGTGTTCCCAGGTCTGTGTGCACGGCGTTCTCCATGTCAGCACCGTCTGGTGTAGCTGTGGCCACGTGTCTAGACATAGCACATACCACGCTGGCCCCGGGATTCCGCCGCATCCGGCGCCTCCACATCGCCTCGCTGCCCACGAGACTCGGATCTTGGAGAGCAGAAGCTCTATCTGTGCCCGTCACCCCCGTCCACCTTCTCCCCTCCCTTCAGCCCCTGGCAGCTGCCACTCTGCTTTCTGTCTCTGTGGACTTGACTCCTTGGTACCTCGTGAAAGTGAAAGTGGAATCTTACACTTTTTGTGTTTTCAGTCTGGCTGATTTCACCGACCAGTGTCCTCAAGCTTCATGAATTATAGCATGTGTCAGAATGAACCTCCATTTATTTATCCTAACCGCCCTTCCATTTTAAGGCTGAAAAGCGTCCTGCTGTATAGATCTGTCGTGTTTTGTTTGTCCATTCATTGATGGACACGTGGGCTGTCTCTATCTCTTTGCGAACCGCGCTGCTCGAATGTGAGTGTACAAACACTTGTTGCGTCCCTTCTTTGAAATCGTCTGGCCGTTGACCCCAAAGAGGAGTGGCTCCTATGGTAGGTAACTCTGTGCTTAATTTTTCAAGGACCCACCAAACTCACCTATAGCTGGCCATGCCACTCCCTGTCTCCAGCAGCGGCACACAAGGACTCGGCTCTTCCTTATCCTCACCAACACTTGTCACTTTCTTTTTGACAGTAGTCCTTCTCATGGGTGTGTGGTGGAACCTGCCAATTGTGGTCCTGCTTTTGATGTCTTGAACAAGCAATACCGAGCATCTGTTCATGTGCCTGTGGGTCGTGCATATTCTCCTCTTTGGAGAAACGTCTGTTCACATCCCTTCCCCGGTTCCCATTGGTGGTTTTTTCTTGCTGAGCTGTGGTCATGACCTCTGGCTGCGTCCTGGAATGGTGTTCCAGGTGTTTCCACACTTGACTCTCAATTGATGACCTCATCAGCTTCCTTGCAGAAGGGGTGCCCCCTCTGGTCCCATCAGCCCCACCTTGGCTTCCTAGCCACCCTCCTCCAGGCTTGCCCGTCACCTCAGCCAGCACTGTCCCGCCCTCCCTGGCTCCTCCTCCACCGGGGTCACTTCTTTCTGTTTGTACCTCAGTCCTCCTGCGTGGCCCCTTGAGGACGAGTTCAGCGCACTTCTGTCCCTGTCTCATGCTTGTCCTCTGCTGTTGGGTCTTCCCAAGCATTTGTAATACGTATGAGGGTCTTAACTGCAAAGAGACACAGGAAAGTGCCAGAGGGAGTGGAAAGTGGGAGTGAACATGTGAACCCCTTTGGGAGAGATTTCTGAAATTGCCACTGGATTTAGGAAAGCCACGCAAGGCCAGGAAAAGGCAGATTTGCCTGAACTCCTTGTGTTTTCACGTGTTGGCTCTTTCACTCCTAGAACGCAGCAAAGCTGGGTCTGGACTCCAGGGAACGCGCTCAATACGCTGCCTGCCACCACCTCCACATACACCTTTTCTGTTTGCCAGTTATGTGGAACTTTGAGGTTCCTGGCTCAGGTCGGCTGCACCCACCAGGTGAACACCAGCGTGCGTCACAGTGGAGGAAGGGTGCAGCTGAAACTACAGGCGGCGTGCTGGGCTGGTGGAATGTTCTTGAATATGGCAGCTGGAGGCAGCCTGCACTCACAGGGACCTTTAAATCAAGCCCACATCAGTTAATGAGCCATCCTTGATCTGAAGAAGGGCAGGGGAAAGTCACTCCCGAGTAAGCGGCAGGCTTTACCTCCTCTCCCCATCTTAGATCCCCTCAACTTCGCAAATTATTTTTGTTTTGTCTGTGAGTGTGTTTTACATTCCAAAGACTACCTTTGTAATTTGTTCTCTTATTCCATGATGACTCACGCAGCCCCTGGGCCGAATTTAAACATGCCTGTCATTCAGAAATGGAAAAAATACATTTTCTTCCTCGCCATCTCCCCACCAACCAGGTAGATCTATAAACTGCTCACAGGCAGAATGGGAGGGGGGTGTTGGATCCTAGCAGAGTGTGGCTTGCACTGAGAGGTGTTTAACTTTCTGTTTCTAAGCGCCAAGGCAAATTGAGGTCAGGGAGGCTCTCAGACCGAAGCAGGTTGTTTCATTTGGGTCATTTTAAATGAGATGCTGTTTTTAGATTCTATGATAACTAAAAAAAGAAAAGACTAAAAAAAGATTTCCTCCCTTAATTTGCTGTTTTTGTGCCCTTTACAGGTCAGCTCAAGTAATGTCGTCTTGAAGACAGGATTTGATTTTCTGGACAATTGGTAAAACGTGTTAGACAAAAAATTGAAGAAAACCGAGAACCCTAAAGTGTTTTCCAAAGCGGTGAGGTGGAGGGGATCACAAGGGCAGTATTTCCCTGGTTTTTGTGTCCTTTTAGTCATTTGGAAACTGCTAAATATTGCCCTGTGCAGATTTTCCCCCTTTTGGTGAGATAAGATATCATGCTGTTTTCAGTGATTTGATAATAGAAATTTTTACATTTGGAATTTTTAAAGACTACACTAGGAATTCAGTAAAGCTTGTAAATAAAACTCCTGTTCCCAGCTCCACCTAATTTTCCTGAACCCTCGTCAGTGAAAATATTTTCTCAGCCATCACAAAAATTGTCAACGTGATTTTAGGATTTGTTTCTTCCTTTTTAACTGTATGGACTTATCTTTTATGGGTGATGGTTGTCGATATCCTCAGCAATAATGGCTTGGCGAGCTGACTGGGACCAAGGCAAGCTCTGTACCCCACGAAGTCTCACCCATGGCTCCCAGCTGCCCAGGGCTTCCCTGGCTGAAGCCAGTTCCCTCCAATTATGTGCCATCTCTTGTCATTTCCAGGAAACAGACTGTTGGCACATGGCAGACTGTCTTTAAGCTGCCCTGCTAGTTATTCAAACTATTCATTGTTTAACAAGAGTTGCATGTTTAACCATTTTGTATTAACTTTTCATTATTTTGTATCTAGATTTAGCAGGGGTAGGGCTCCCCCTTTTCTTGAGTTTCCGTTTGGAAGTTCTTGGCTACTCACGAAGATTGTGAGTGGCCCTGTCCCAGCCGTCGGCAGGTGCGACAGAAAAACCAGCTCTTCTGTTTAGCAGCATTAGAACCCTCCAGTGTGGGACTGGAGGGGCAGAAGACATCCTTCATCCCAAGGACTGGTCATGCTGCATCATGATGGACCCTCCCCCAAACCTGCCCACCAGCAGAAGCAGAAGAGTTGAGTTTCTACTGTGCCCCTGCTTCACCCCTTGAAGATGCTTATGGCACAGCAGTAGCGCCTTCTAGAATGGGACTTCTTCACCCACCGTGGCCCTGGTGCTGTGGTGGTGGGGCAGCACGGGGCAGGCGGGGAGCATGCCGGCCTGACCCTGGCAGCCGGTGCCCGTCCGTGGATCCTGAGTTCTGTGAGCCCGCAGGACGACCCCAGGCGTGATCCTCATGTTGCCTCTCACTGTGTTCTCCTCACCTGAAGCCTTAATCCCTGAATCCTGCCATGAGCGCCTAGTTTCGATATCAAAGTGTGTCTTTTTGAAATGCCTTTCTGTTTCATAGGACCTGAAATAATTTCTAGAATATTTTCCCTGGCTCCATGGTATCACACATACAATTTTTACCCCCCAGGACAGTTTCTGCTAATGCAAGGGCTTAAGCCAACATGTGGATTGGTTCCTGCCAGTTGCCTGATGTCCCCAAACCTTATTTGGTCCCTTGGCATCCTGGACATTACTTTCCTCCTTTGTTAACTGACTAGTTCATGACAAATACAGGTTTTTTTTTTTCTGTCCCACTTAAGTAGAATTGAGACATGTAAGGGAAAAGAGTTTGTAGCATGGTGGTGAGGGTGGAAAAGGTACCTAGAAATCCCAGCTGGAATGGCCCACCCAGAGGGTATCACCCCAGAGCCTCTGTGCCTCCAAGCTGGCTTACCACCTGACTTTCAAGGGCATAGATGTCTTTGGCTCCATGCTGGAAAACATGGACCCTGTGGTCCTTCAAAAAAAGATGTGCAGATGTGAGCTTCATCTGTGGAGTTGGTATAGCAGGGAGAAAGATGTGCATCTGGACCGTTCCCTCCCAGGTGATGTGTCAGGCCTTTTGAAAGAACATTCTCATTTCTTGCCCCTTCTCAGAAACCCCAATAGTCCCTCAGGTTCTCCTGGGAGCTGAGGGGGTGAGAGATGATCAAAGCTTCAGCTACCCTTACTACCCTTTGGGGTCCCGTATCCATGGTGTTTAGTGATCTGTTATAATGGTGCTCAGATTTTCACAGTGGCACCATCTCCTGAGATTAAATGTGAAAGTAAAAGTTGGGAAATGCTGGAGAGACCCCAGAATCATGGCGTTTTGCTCTGCCTTTGGAAATCAAGGAATACGAGAGGGATAGGACCTGGAGGCCATGGGCTCGTGGGCCTCCACCCTGCCTGACCTGTGTGTTCTCCTCTTTTTGGAGACTGGCCCTGTGGGGTGGGCCCTTCCCCATCCTCCTGGGAGGTTATGTGAACGGTGTCCCAAGCAGGGAAAATTTAAATTTTAACACTCGCTGTTTCTCCTTCCCCAGTCTCCCCTCCCCCAATATATCAGGGTAGCATTTCTGAAACCAGAAGTTTACATATACAATTTTTAAAAACACACTTTTCAGCTGAAGCTTGCATGTGTTGGTTTGGGATTCTCCCCCACCCCTTGCATCTGGGATTCAGCTCAAGGATTCAATGTCCTGCTTTGGGTGACTATATTTTGCAAAATCACCCCCAGGAAGGCAGAAAACCAGTCTCAGTTCTTTCACCCTCTGGGTTTGGGGAGTGCCACTCTCCATGGTAACAAGGGAGGGGTCTCTGGGCCTGCACCCCTCCCCGTGGATGTCAGCATCCTCCTTCTCTTTGATATACCTTTTCAAGATGATAAATTCTTATTACTTGTAACTTGGTTGTATTTTATATTAATAGCCTTAAATAAAGCCATTTAAAATATGTGAGATGTGTCTATTTGGGGCCTTTCCCAGAGTCAGGAGGCCTGTTATGATACTTGCTGTTGAACATGGGAATAAAAGATTCACACATGTTTAAGGTGGTGAAACTCCTTAGCAAGTCTCCTTGACCTGACAGGCCAGGTGGCTTGTCTTGCAGGTGTGGGCAATCATGACCCAGGCATCATGGCCTCACACGGCCCTCTGGTGATACAGAAGCTCTGGCAAGTCTTTCCAAAGGTGGAAATACTGCATCAAGTGACTGGCTCAGAATGCTTTCTTGTTGAGCCTGGTAGCAGTGGATTTTTCCAGAAGAGATACAAAATAAAGCAGGGCCAGTCCATCCTATTCCCTAAATTAGAGTTGGCAGACAAAGGAGAATTTTTAGCTGTCGTTTTCCTGTATCACATGTGCAGTGCATTCTGGCTATCTGGGAACGAAGATTTCTGGGGGAGCAAGTAACGCTACTTGCTGACTTAATGGTATATTGTGTTGGGGTGAAGTTTGTGGGTCAGCAAACAATGGGTCATTACATTTAGACATTAAGAGAAGAGACAAAATAGCTCCCAAGCCAGTAGTTTTTGCAGTTTTTAGGATAGCACAGAATGTAATAGTAACATGTCAAAAGGGTCTCTATGCAAGAAGAAGCTGTCAACGTAGAGACAAAAGCCACTGAAGCCAATGACGGGAGGTAATGGCTGGTGATGAGACTGCTCCCTGTTATGACTGGGGCTGTGTCTAGCACATTCTTTGGTCTGGTTTCCTGCTCATAGACCCTATTCTGATGAACTTAGCAGCTTTCCGTGTGCTGTGATACCAAGATGTGGGCACCATAACAGGAAGTGTTTCTGAAACCCACCCAAACTCAGAAAACGAATGAGCAGTTCTGTGTATACGATCAACTTAAAAACCAAGAGCACTAATGCCAACTAGAAACTTAAAAGATGCCAACTCATTGTGGCAATCACAAAGCAGCCAGGTGTACGAAAACGTCTTTAAAGAAAGCTGTAAAGATGAAGTAGATGATGTAATTATCCTAGCTGGGATCAGTTACTGTTAAATAGATGCTACTTTCCCAAATTAATTTATAAAGTTCGTGCCACTTAAACAAAAATCACAGTTGGAGGAACTTGACAGATTTTTGAGAAGTTGTAAATGGAGAAATAACATTTCCTTGAAGAATAAGGGACACTTTGCTCTATCGGGTTTGGAAACAAGCTGAAGTCCATAGAAATAGAGTGGATATCGGGATGAGGTAGGATCAGATCAGTGGAATAGAGTGGAGGGCTAAGGACAAACCCAGGCATTTATGGGAACTTTTTATAAAACGCTGGTAGGAAGGGAGGATTCTTACTATCTGGAGAGAAAACTAGCTTGCTACCAGCACTGCACAGAAGTGGGCTCCATCAGGCTCAAGATCAAATTATAAAGGTGAAAGTGTAAAGGCAAGGATGGACTTAATTAAAGTCCAGATGTACAAACCATAAAGTAAAAACACTGATGGAATTCACACATGATGATTTGGGAATTTTATCTGTGAAGCAGTGAGAGCAGAGAGGGGGTTGGGAGCTCACATTCCAAAGCAGGGTGAGTACAGGACCCTTCCTGAAAATAGCGAAAAGCCACCGCAGCCTCCAGGGAGAAATAACATGAGAGAAAATTCTTAATTTGGGATTAAAACAATTGACAGAGAAGAAAAACTTAGCTGGGTAATAAGTATTGACAGAAAAGGGATCAAACAGTGGTTTCCCAATGGGGTGCGATTTTGTTCTTCCCTCCCCGCCACCCCCACCCCCCCAATTTGGTCATATTACCAGACACTTGCAGAGCACAGGACAGCGCCTCACCGGAACCATCACAGTTGGCTACAGTGGCAACAGGAGACAGAGGTTGAGAAAGCCTGGAACAGAGAAAGTGCGAGGTCATTGTGTCCGGGAATAGAATACTCTTTAGCCTAATGAATATGCACATGCCTTGCCATTCCCATTCTCTTCCTGGGTGTGTGTCTAAATTCGTGCATAGGCTTCTAAGGGAATGTGACAGGGCTGTTGACTGCTGTTTGTGGGGTGTCTCTCACTGGGAGATGGTTAGACAGAGTGTGATGGGTCCATCCCATGGATCATTAGTGCTTAAAAGTAAACGTGGCAGGGCCCTCCCTGGTGGCACAACAGGATAGGATGCAGCACTGCAAGATAGCTGCAGCTGCTTCAGTTTGATCCCCAGCTGCGGTGGTGACTCGCATGGCGAGGGAGACTCTCCTGTCTCGCCCGCTGCTGAGGGCAGCAGTGTACTTCATTGATCTGCCTGTTCTGATCCCCACTCTGATGAATCCTCTCACCTGTACCTCTAGCCTGTACCCCAGTTCTCTATGAATAAAATAACTAAATCTTTAAAAAAAAAAAAAGTACACATGGCAACAGAGATGAATCTGAACAAATATATCAGTTGGTGAAAAAAAGGCAGGAAATAAAGTGGAATCCAGAGCACTACTATTCTCAAAAACTAAGAACATATGTACCTAAAATAAGACATATTTGACCAAATGTTGTCTATTGGAGGAACCGTGGTAGAAATAAAGGTCAAGGGCACAAGGGTGAAGTTGCTGCACTATGAGGCTATCACCAGCCACTGCGGCACAAGTTCCACCCCCAGCCAGGGAGCTGACCCACATGGCACAGCAGACCTCTCCTGTCTCCCTGCTGCTCCCCTCAGCAGGTATCTCAGTAGATCTGCCTGTTCTCCCCACTGTGTCTCTGGTGAATTCTCTCGGCCCCCACACCTCTGGCCTATACCCCAGCACTTGTATGCATAAGAGAAAAATAACTTAAAAAGAAAGAAGGGTCAGGAAAGAAATATAACCAATGGTGATCATGGTGCAGTAGGTACCTATGTGCAAAGAAATTTCATCTCTCTCATAACTTAGATCTGATGTTGATTTCTCCCAAGAGGGGGGAGATTCCCTGGCTTTGCTGGTGGGTTACAACATTGGTTCTATCTTTGTGGCTTGGTTCTGTTTACTCAGTTTGTGTGATTCTGTGGCTATACATCAGCTAACATGTACCCAGCCTAGAGTGTCAACTGATATGTTTGTGACAGCAGGAGGGAAACTGAGCAGGTTGGAGGAGAGTGAGGAACCAGTGTCACCTAATACTCTTCCTTGTGGGACAAATCACACTGGCTGTGTGAGATGGGACAAGACAATGCAGAGATCATGATTCTGTCAATTGGCCAGTGACTTGACCACAACAACCTAGTTTTCCCCAACTAAGAATTTGTCTATGATAAAACCATGAATAATAATATGTGGAGGGATTTAAAAAATAATCTTTAACCTTTATATCTGCATTACAGATAGTGTGGAAAACTTAACTTGCTGCTTTAACACAGTATCAGTGTTGTAAAACATTTGCTTCCACGCTATCGTGACAAAACCCAGGTCCAAGTGGAAAGCACGTGTCGGCGGACCTGATGACCCGAGAGTGAGTCTGGCCCGACATGGCTCTGGCAATGCCCTTAGTGGCTCATTTCCTCCCTCCTTCCGTTCATGCCAATCTCTGCTCCCAAGATTGTAATCATATTGTTTTCTTTGCTGTTTTTGCTATGTGCAAGCTTGGCACGGGGCTCTAGGGATTCATTCAAATATCATACAGTCATAACTACTGTTCCCATGGGGCTTTTACTGTAATGCAGTAGGCAGAATAAACATGACCACACAACTGAGTTGAAAATTGTTCGGCAGAAACAAGACTTCTGTTTCTGGTCATGGTAATATAATTGAGACGAGACATTTACCCTTTTGTTAGAAACAACTAGACAATTGGAGAAAATTTATGAAACAGTGACTTGGGGACTTTGAACTTGAGCCAGTGCAGGACTTTGATCCTGAGAAAAGGAAAATAAATGAAGTGAACCCTATGATTTTCCCAGTTTTCTAACTTGAGTTAGTTTCTCAACTGTGTTGCAGGAATTCTTGATGAGCTGCGGAGGATGAATTTGGGGATGAAAACTGAGCTGGAAACTGTGTGGAGAAAGAGCTCGGAAGTATGCACAGGATTCCCTCTGAGTATGTTGGAGGCAATTTCTGGCACAAAGAAGAGACAATAAAAATGGCCTGGCAATCTTGCTGAGGTGAAGAGCGTTAATTTGGAGTTGGGGAGGTCACAGGGCTAGAAATGAAATGATAGAATCCCAAGGAGGAATGTTTCCAGAAATCTGCATGGGAATTCTTTTAAATCTTTGGCGAAAGGCCACTTTGTACATATATACCGTGGAACATTAATGGGCTGGGCCGAAACAACCACAGAGAAAATAGTGGTTATCTGAGACCTCTAATAAGAGAAACAATGTTCAGATTCCAGAAATAAACTAGAAAATGTAGCTCATAAACATATTTTATAGATACACCAAATGAGAAATTAGAGAGTTTATGGAGTTAGCAGACAGGATCTTAAAACAGCCATTATAGATGTACTTCACGTGCTCAGCCATGTAAAAGAAAATGTAAAAGAGAGGAATGGAATCATGGAAATAAAATAATACCTGAAATGAAAACTTCATTGGAGCATATTAAAGTGGTACACTGCATAAGTAAGTAAATAAGTAAAGGAAATCTGAAAATGAAGCAAAAAGATTGTGGGAGAAGTGAATAGAGACTTGGGATTAAGTGGTAAAATACTAAGTGATCCAGAATATGAGTAATCACAGTCCTGGAAGGAGAAGAGTGAGGAGGAAGAATGGGGAAAAAAGCAAAGGAATAATAGCCAAAATGTCCCAAATTTGATAAAAATGCTAAACCACAAATTCAATAAATCCAATGATGAACATACGCACACATTCCAAAGCATGTCACAAATGATGGAAAAAAAAAATCGCAATCTAACACCCTCTTTGAAAATAGACAGGAGAATCCTGTCCAACTCATCATCCAACATTACCAAAATTAGACTAGGATGTTATAAAAAAAAAAGTGAAAGGAAAACAAACTACAGGTCTGTCATA